CAATTATTAAATAAAAAAAAGTTTAAACATGATATTTTAAATTTTTATTTTATATTGAATAATTTTTTATTACTAAACAATTATTTATTTATTTATTTTTTATTAAAGTTATCGAAGAAATCGCTGCTTTCATCCTCTTAATTTTCATTATTTCAGATTTGTTTATTTAAATATGATTTGAAGTTTCATTATCTGCCCACTAATTTGTTGTAGCAACAAATACAATTATAAATAAAGTGATAAGTACTGGATAGAAAATTGCAAATGATAAAGAACTAAGCTTATTATATGCCTTAAATTATTGGCAAGTATTAATTGCAAATTAATTACCCTTGATATTCCAAAAGTTAAAAATTTGTTAATAGTAAGTTATAAGTTATATTACAGGTACGTTAGTAAAAACAATAAAATTATGAACATGAAATTTTAAAAATTGTTAAAGAAACTTCCCTGTTTACTTAATCGAGATTATGGAATCTAAATTTATTAAAAATTAACATGATCCATACAGAAGAAGATTTAATTCAATCTCATATTGTTTTATCCAAACCGTTTGAATAATAAAAATGAAAAAGGTATTTATATCGTAAGTGTGTTAAAAGAAAGTAACTGTTAAAACGTACAATTAAAACGAAGATATATATGTGTGTATGTGTATCTAAATGTAACAGCAAAAGTTTAACTATTAGAAATCAGTCTAGAAATGAAATAGCGATAAAGTAAAAATGTTTGCGCGTCCTAAATTTCCTTACAGAACGTAATATATCACCAGCAACGATCAGGGGTAATACTAGAAAAATATAAATGATACAATCACTGATTTGTATTCATGAATGCATCCGCCAATGATTCATACGAATAAAAAAAGAAAGAAAAAAGCAGTTATATGCTTATGTCGTAAAGATGAAGCGTGGGAATTTCAGTTTTTGTTTATTTACTATTTTCTTTACGATTATTTTAATTTTTACAATTTTTGTTACAGAAGGATTATTATGGCATAATATAAACAACGAAAAACCAACGATAGAAAATTGCCGAAATGAAAATATCATTAATACATTTTTCCGCAACCGAACAATCAATTGCTAAACGATGTTATGTCATTATCGTTATATAAAACTAGTTAATCGATGATTGTATACTTGTTTTGCACCGTACTGTGTAGTTATATTTGATTTTTATTACTGAACATGTATTGTTGTGAGAAATATTGAAAGATATGTAAATTCAATTTGACGCAATTATTATACATGCATCGTATATCATATCAATGGCAGTATCGTAATTATTAAACGTATTTATATTACAAGATACGTTCATTTCTGAATTACTACTCATGCGAATACTTTATTTTCATTTATTTATTTATTGAAATTTTAATTTATAAATTAATAATAGTTAATATATTAACCATTATTAAGTAATCAATTACTAATTGATAAATATTAGTTTAATTATTGAAACTTTATTATTATTTATTTTTGAGGGATGTTTCTTCGCGAATATTTTCATATCTAAATTCATTATTCATGTACAACACTATGCATATTCATGAAAGGAGACAGAGTAAATACAAAATTCAAGAAATACATACATTTATAGAACTTTAAATAAGCATATTCTATAACGTAGCATTAACGGTATATTGTAAGGAAAAAAAGAAATTTCGGAAGACTGAAATTTACTTTAAGTATTTGGCAATAGGATACGTTTTCTTTTGTCTTAATCTTATTAACTAGATATCAGCTTTTTTATTCGGATAATAGCAAGGACTTTTAAAAGAGTTCAGAAGTAAAATAAGTTAATGAGGTAGTGAAAACTAATCGATAAGAATAAACTAAATTACCTTACTTTAAAAATTAGTTTTAGATATAAAAAGGGTAAATATAAATACGATTTTCATATTTCATTTATTCAATTAGTTTCCCTTTTTCATATGAATATGTCTTTAAAAATATTTACAATTCAATTTATAAATATTACAGTTCTCGTTTATTTGAAAATGCAAAAATACTATTAAAATTCCTATCCCTTTTTTTAGAGATCAAAAGACGAATAACGTATAAATACTATAACAAGAAATGCAAGTCAAACTTTCACTTAATGCTTAATAAATCAAAATCGGAAGAATTATCTTAAACACGCAAAGTTTAGCCTGAACTTCTTTTCATTGGATGTTTAGAAAGATAATGTTTTGGTGAATATTCTTCTATAATAACAACACCACTTTCTCTGGTATATAACAGATATGAAAGTGACACATTTCACAAAGAAACATAGTGGCAAATTCGTAAACGCCGCTTTTAAATTCCATAACATGTGCCTTTGCAAAAAAACTTAACGATACTTGTAAGTAAAATTTGAACAAATCATTCAGTTATTATTTAAGCTACTAAACAAGACTGTATTAATCCTTACATTTAATAAACATAATTATTCTTCGATTGAAAAAAGCATTATCCTTTTTCAACCGTATGTTTCTACACATTCCACAGATAGATGTAATTTATCCCATACGAAATCACCAAAGTTTGAAGATATTTAAAAAGGTATAAAATAATAAAAATAGCTTTACAATACTGCAAATGTTACTACCGTCTACGTCTCGTCAGGATCGAAATCAAGAACAATCTTTGAATTCTTCACATCCCACAATGACATTTTCTCGAAAGAAATTTAAATGAAAGAAAGAAAAAGACCTGAAAATCGAATTTTCGATACAAAGGCGATCTAGAAAACTGCACGATTTCTCATACCAGGAAATAAACGTGTAGGAAACGATCTTAAAGAAATCGATTATATAAAAGTACCAAAAGCGAATTGTATGATTTAAAAAACTCTTATTGAGAAGCTCAGTAACTGGGAATTAACTAAGAGGTATTATAGGATAGCAGGGACCGAGTGGATCGAGGTACAACAAGAGGGTGGTTTACTCACTAAAGGTGCGACGCTGACGACGTCGACGTTGATTAGAGATGCTCAGAACTCGATGGCGTCGCGATGCACACCGCTCAACATTCCTTTCAGCTTGCCTTGGAGTAACTGGACGCCAAAGCGGTTTCCCTCTCTCGATTCCCATCGACTTCTTTACATTCTACTCCAGCCTCGATCATGGCTTTCACTTCATCCGTCGAGGAAATGGTGAACCATGATCGCTCGACGACGTTAGCGCACGACGTTGTTGGTCCAGCGACGACGAGACCGTACAGCTTCACTGAATCTGGATAGGACATGATCTGGTCAACGCTTGGCTTTTATGGAGACGCGTTTCTAATCGTTAGTAAACGAGAATGATGAAAGACGAAAGTCATCGAATCAGATAGTTAATACTGGAAAGACTTTTTCAAAACAATTTTGTAAAAAATATTGGAATTTTGGCATTCTTCAATTTCCTGAAAGACGTTCATTTCAATTGCATTAAAACTGACATGTTCATTCAGTATACATGAAAAAGAGCAATTAGAAAAATTATAACCTCGATCGAGTGGGAAATAAATTATTATAAAAAAGGAATCTTTTATTTGGGGAAAAGAATAATTTTTTATCTTCTTTTTCGTAATTAATCAATGATAATGTAAATATAATATATTTGTTTATGAAAAATGTCATAAATTTAAAATAATATTATTTCATAGTACATAACAGATCTTTTTCGAGGAATAAAAAATTTGACACAAGGAAATTAATAACATAATGAAACATAATAACAACGATGAATTATTACAACAGATGTAATAAATTATTTGTTTATTCAATATCTAAAACGAACATTTTCGAATGATTTGAAGAAGCAAAGCAATTCGAAACGCTTAAAAACAGAACAGACATTGCGAATTTGCGAAAGAAAAAACCGAAATGAGATAAAATGATAGAAAATAATGTGTTAATTAATAACTCTTTTGGTTAAATATAATTTTAAAATAAACATAAAAAATAAAATGTTTTATTAATAACAAATAAAATTAATAAAATTAAATTGCTTTAACATGTATTATTTGATAATTTTTATAATTGAAAAGAACTATAACAAAAGTAATATACATACGTAACACAAAGAGGAATTTTTCAAAATATATATTAACAGTTTATTCATTAATTTACTTAACAGTTGAAAATTATAGTATATGATTAAGATTATAAGCATAAAATTTATTAATTAGAAATTTTTAAATTTCTATAATTTCTATTTCTAAATAAATATTTAAAATTATATTATAAATTTTTTATCATATTAGGAAACATAAATTTAATATAATTTCAGTAAGATACGTAATAAACATAGTTAATTTATGTATATAATATTTTCTATGGATATTATTTATATTTTGTCATTCTTTTTTCATTTAATACAGGAATAGCAGAAGAATTGCGTTTTTATTTGCCATATTTTTAACGTGTTTTACGTTGATTGTGTAAATTATGTAAATGTATAATTTTATTTAAAGCTAGTTTTCTCTATATATATATTTTATGATGGAAATATTTTGTATCTTGTACCTATCGCATTGTATCTGAAGTAGAATCTTCGTTTCATTTGGTTAGTAAAAAAACAATTCAATGACACTTGATGTATACACATGAATCAAAATAACGTCGTTTCTACCTGTTTAACCACAAAAAGAAACATGAATTTTTTTCTTCGTGACACGTATAAAATGCTAAGAGTTTTATTTAATTAACCTAAAAATCCGAGTTCATATATTTGTTTATTATTTCTAAAATTTAATTATTTATATATAGATAATTTTAATATTATATTACATTAAATTTTTTATTTTCGTATACAAACAAATAATACTAATACTAAGAACATATAATAATTATCCCATAATCATATATTAAAATAAATATTTTAATAAGTTTTATGACATATTACAGGAAAAGTATATAAATTAAAAAAATACGTATAAAAATACATACAATTTCAAATAATGTAAATATACAAATATATATATGTTAAGGAATTATATTTTTTTAACCATAATAAACATAAACATAATTTGGCACACTTAATATTTCTAAACATAATGGAAGAAAAATTGAATACAAAAAGTCATCGTAAACAAAAACGAGCATATCATAGACTTCTTAGGGATATGGGTATTAAATGCTGTGATAATCCTACACAGGTTAATATTTATTTATTTAAGATTTTATAATAACAGTTGGAATACATTTTTAATTTTTTTTGTGGTAGTATGTAATGATTTGTAATGCTGGATTAGTGACTGGATTCCAAAGGAACATATTACAAGATATGGTAAATTCATTTGTTAATAAATATGATTTAATAATGCCACCAAATAAGTCATATTGTTTTATTAAGCTTTATTCAATAGAAGATGCTATATATGTACACAATAAAATTCATGCTAATATTAAAGTTAGCGGGCAAAATACACCATTATATGCAACATTTACAGAATCAGGTACATAATTTATCTTAAAATCTCTATAAAACATGTTACATTTCTTTATGATTTCAATTATTAATTAAAAGATACTCGCAAATAAAGATTAAAAATAGAGATTCAGTTTCAATATTTTCATATTGTACTTTTGTTTTAGTTCCCGATTTAAATTATTATGAATGGTCTTTAAACCTTCCTCCTGGTCTCAAATTAATAGAAAATATTATCACTGAAGAAGAAGAAAGAAGATTATTAAGCACAATTAATTGGAATAATGAAGGTAGTGAAAATTATTCGTGTTACTTCTATAAGAGTGTATTATATAATATAAATCTGTCTTTGATTAAATACTAGGATCATCTGACTTGAAGCATAGAAAAGTTAAACATTTTGGATATGAATTTCAGTATAACTCAAATAAAGTAGATCCAGATCAACCTATTACACCTATACCGGAAGATTATCATTTTCTAAAGATACTATTCAAAAAATATCATGATGTCCCATATGAATATGATCAATTAACGATTAATCATTACTTACCTGGTCAAGGTATATATATCGTAAAATTTCATTTTTTACAACTATTAATATTTATTTTTTTATATAGAAATGCAATAGTAATATTTTATATTTTAAGGTATTCCTCCACACATTGATACGCATAGTTCATTTGAAGACAGTATATTATCATTATCACTGGGTTCAGCATGCATAATGGATTTTAAAAGAGAAAATGAAAAAGTTGCTATTTTTTTACCACCACGTTCATTATTAATTATGTCAGGAGAAGCTCGTTATGCATGGTCACATGGAATATGCCCTAGACATAATGACATAGTGAGTACTTCAACTGGAATGACAACTCAACCACGAGGAACAAGAGTATCGTTTACATTCCGAAAAGTACGCACGGGTGATTGTTACTGCAATTTTCCTGCATATTGCGATACAAAACAAAATAATGCCATTACCCTTATTGATAATAAAATAGCGCCAGGAATAGAAAATTCTTATGTACATAATGTATGTATTATAAAATATCTTTTATATTTAATTTTATTTATATTCAATAAACTATTGAATAAATTTGTAATATATTTTTATATAGGTTTATGACAAAATTTCAAATCATTTTGATGAAACAAGACATAAACAATGGCCCAATGTATCAAAATTTCTTGAAACTTTAAACACAGGTGATATTTTGTTAGATGTAGGATGTGGAAATGGTAAATATCTTTACCAACACAAAAATATATTTAAGGTATGTATTATTTATTATTTAATTTTACGTAACATAATATATGAAATAAAAAGTTTTTAACGATATAGGTTGGGTGCGATAGAAGTTATAATTTAATGAAAATATGTCGAAGTAAAAATTTTGAAGTGTTTCTATCTGACTGTTTATATTTACCTTACAAAGACAATAGCTTGGATGCAATAATATGTATAGCTGTAATTCACCACCTTTCGACTCATGAACGAAGAAAGCAAGCAATTTTTGAATTAGCAAGAATTCTTAGACCAAATGGAAAGTGTTTAATTTATGTGTGGGCAAAAGAACAAGAAAAGGATTCTATTCAAACAGCTTATTTGCGATATGACTTAGTTAAAAAGGAAGACAATATTTCATGGACACAAAAGTTAACAGAATATGGTGTTACATTACCAATACATACAAATCGTACAAAATTTGTTTCTAATGACCTGCTTGTTCCTTGGAAAAGAAAAGGAGGAGGAAATTTCCTTAGGTATTATCATGTATTTGAAGAAAATGAACTATCACAATTATGTTCTGAAGTGAAGAGTTTTACAATACAGGAAGTATATTATGATCAAGGAAATTGGTGTGTAATTTTACAAAAAAAAGAATAAAATAAATTAATAAAAATTGTGTTAATCATACTTCATACCATTTCATGTTAGCAAAAAAAAATAATAACTTTGCAAATAAAATAAGAATATAAGGATTATAAATGCTTTAAATGATTTTATCTTTATTGGAAAAAGAACAAAATACATGGAATATGTGTTCTATACAGGGTTTTAGATATAAATAGTCCCTGATATCTAATTTTAGTATTATAAACATGAATAATGCATAATTGGACAAGAAAAGTGCACTGTACAAAGCTCACTCTGCTTGACTTTTACTTGCTATTGTGCTTCAATTGTGTATAACATATTTAATAGCAATATAGATTATCATTATCATTCTTCAATAATAATAATAATATTATTATTATCATTATTATTATGATTATTACTACCATCTGCATCTTACTTTTCATTATCATTTTCAGTATTATTACTATTGATATTAATATTATTACTTGTATTAGGTATCGTTTGTAAATATATTAGCACACCTTATTCACAAAAAATAATATCCAATTATAAAATAAATGTAGAACAATAGTTGTTTCCAAATACTATTTCCAAGAATTGTAACCAAATTTAATAGTTTATAATCTTTCTTCAGGTTTGTTAATGTCAACAGTGTACATAATATATACAACGATTGACAATACTAAACTATTAGTAAAATTGTTATACATTTTTAATTGGCGAGTGCTTGATTTAGGGCAAAGTATACTGTCCCTTCTTTTTAATAGATTCAAAAACTTATACAGGTCCAACTTCTTCCGGATCATAATTTTTTACTCTTTTATTGTATGCAATAATTTCCTAAATAATTAAAAGTTGAAACATTTGCTACAATTCTATTTTTAAATTAATAAAAATATCTAATCAGTTACTTACTCTTTCATATCTTGCTCTATCCTCTTCTGCTATTGCCATATACTTTGATTTAGTTTGAAGATCTGTACTCATCCACAATTTACCCAGCTCTTTGGCGATATCACCTACTCCCATTTCTGGATGCAATTCTCTCATCTTCCCACGTAATTCTTGGCAAAAATAGAAAAAGGCAGACCTAAAATGATATTTATAAGTAAAACATTAAATACCAATTAATATTATAAACACATACAATGCCCTTTTAGGTGCATCTTTATCTCTGTATCTTTTTGTTCCTCTACGTGCTGGTCTCTCTGTTTCTTCATGACCTGTATAATGTCTATCATAATAATACATTTTCTTATTGCAATGAGCTCCATCTTCAAGATGGACAATCTAGAAATATAATATAATTTCATGTGTATTTTCATTAAACAAATTATTATTAACATTGTTTTAAAGAAATTTACCTCATTTTTCACTGGAACTGCATTGATTATAAAATTTTTACCATGAGTACTTGACCATTTTGCTTGATTATTTGAAACATTAGACACATTTCCAGGTTTCATTACAGGATCACCGCATTCTGATAATTGAATAAGTAACCACAAATACACCCATAATTTAATTGCATGTTTAACTACCACAATATTTTTAAGTCATATTATTTATTCATAACAACACTGAGAATTTTATATCAATTTATATTTTTTGCAAATAAATTTTTAATGAAAGTTTTAAAAAATTATGTTTTTACCTGGTGTCATATTTGTTTGACCAACAATCATTGTGTCTCTCATTCCAGAATTCAAAGAATTATCACCCGTTTTTGTAAGGTAAACATTTTTCCTGTCATTTGATTCCATAATTGTAGCAAATTCTTTATAATGTTCTGACCAAGAAATGAATGATTTATCCAAAACCACAATAATCTACACATAATATTTATTTCATACTTTATTAATCTATTATTTCAAATTATTTTGTAATACAAAAAATAAAATTTCTTGAAAAAATATATAAAATACAAAATGACAAATTAAAGTTATAAATATACCATAATTTATAACTCAAATATAATTATTTTTTTGTTTAGATAACAATAATGTATAATTAAAATCTATGATTTATATGTTAGTTTTATTTTATATATAACTTAACATAAACATAATTTTATAATAATGATTGGGTATTTAATATTACTTACCACAAATATAGTTTATAGGAAGCACATAACAAATTGTTGTCATGACCTTAAGAAAACAGCATCATAAATATGCGTCTCAAGCTCTGTAGAAATAACAAAATACATACAACTTTTTAAAATACTATAAGCTATAAATTAATTAATAAATTAATTATTTGTAGGGCAATGGTATATGATTTAATTTTAATTTATATGTTATGCATAACTTATGTTATATCTTGAAATTTTAAAAATATTTGAATGTGAAATTTTTAAATTAAGAAATTAAATTAAAATTTTATAAATATTACAAAAAATGATCTAAAATATGTACATCATGTAATAAAACTACACTTTATATAAATACATATACATCCAACAACAACAATTTCATAGAAATTTCATAAAATTTTATAAATACCATACTCTTCTTTCATTACAATATAAACCAAAAGAAAGAATACCTAACATATCACATACTTTTTAAAAAAGCAAAATGCTTTTAATATCATAAAAAGTAAAAATATCATTGACGAGAAAAATAAAAAAATAAAATATTCAAATATGTTAAAGATACATAAGTAATGAATGAGGAAAATGTAACAGATATTTACCTACAGATGACGTACAAAGGCAATCGCTGCTACAACATAATATAAAAGCTATCTTACGATGCACAACTCAAAAGAATGGAAGAGTAGTGTATACCATAAAATTACATATACAATACATATCGTAATCAAACTTACCAATAATAACTAAAAACAAACGTTATAAAAGAGTTCAAAAAAAGTGATTATAAGCAACGCGAAATGTAACTTATTAAGCATCCATTCCACAGATCGGTCCTATCTATACGTATCTATCTGTACGTATCACGCGTACCGTGATCAGCATTATATACGAAACGCGTATGATATCTAAATACAATTCCTTCTAAACACTCAAATTAAGATTTCTTCAAGTTCTGAATATTCACAGATACAATATTCGTCAATTATTGAACCATAGAACTCGGATTATTGACGACAAGACTCAATGTTAAAAAACAGATCGTATAAACCAAGCTGATTGAAGCAGATATGACCGGGCATAGCCACTTGTGTGCTGTACATATACATACATAATACGCGCGAGCGCGTGCACTCATGCATCAATTTTTTAATATTACATATTTTTTAAATATTTTTAATTTGTCACTTTATCATTAAACGTTTCATTCTTCCATCTCTACTACTATGTTTACAATTACCTTAAAATTTTTAAGGAATTAAGGAAAACAATACATTAATAAAGGAAATATTAAGGGAAGTTCATATGTCAAATGATGGTGTCAAATGTCATCAATATATATACTTTCAGACAATATCGATTGCAGAAAATCATATATATGGGGATGAAAATAAGTCTAATGTATAATTTTCCTACATAGTAACTGTGTAAATAATAAAAAATTAATTGTTTTTAAAAATTACTATTTAAATTTTTTTCTTCTTTACCTAAAAATACATAAATGACATAAAATGTAATAAATATTGATAATTGTATATAATTTTTAAATGTATTCTTAATAGATATTTTTTGTTTATAAAAATATATTAAAAAAATATAAATTTATCACATGTAAATAGGTTTGATGTTTATGAAAATTAGAAAATTATTAATTTTTTATATTACTAATTTCTAATATTTTGTAGGATAATTTAATGATAGCATAAATTAATGTTACAGTCTAAAAGTTGAAATTCTTCTATTGTAATTTTAGTTTTAAATCGATCATTTCGAGGATAAAATATCGATTAATTGACGTCTTTACATTAAGTATCGATAATAACAAGTAGTTTGTGATAATATTTAAAAATATTTACTTTATGTATAACTTTCAAGAAAAAAGAATTAATTTACGAAACAATTAATTATAAACAGTTTTATGATGATAGGATAACAGAATATGAAACCTATATAATAAATCATATCATCACTTACGGTAGAGGTTATATTTTTGTTGTACTTGTTACATGTGCTTAATGTGTAAATAAATATTTTAAATCATGAAGGAAGTTCTGCTATCAAATTGTGAAAGAAATTTTGTAAATAAGGCAGTACAACGAGGAATAGTATGTATTTTTGATATTTTATTTTATAAAATATATGAATATAAACCCATAAAGTTTTTTTAAATGGCTTTTAGCGATTAGATGGAAGGAATTTAATGGAAGCACGACCTGTTAAAATTTATTTTGCATCTAATTGGGGTGGTTGTATGGTTTTACTTGGTCAAACTAGGTAAGATTAATATCACTTACAACTTTAAAAATATTAACATTTATAATTTATTCTTTTGAATGAAAGTAAATCAAAATTTCTCTACATTTATTATTATGAATATATATTAATTACTGATAATTTGTGTATTTAATCTTTATATATATGAATGTTTCATATGATAAAACAATATTTTTATTACAGAGTTATAGCACAAGTAACATGTGATATTCAAAAACCTAAGACATCTCGCCCTAATGAAGGAATGTTGCATATAAATGTTGAACTTAATCCAATAGCTGCACAACATTTTGATAGTGGTAGGCAATCTGAAATTTCCATATTGATTAGCAGACAACTTGAAAAATGTTATCAAGATTCCAAATGTATAGATCTAGAATCTTTATGTATTATAGCTGATAAGCAGGTAAAAAATATTTTCTTAAATATTTTCTTAAATACCTTGAGCTTTCAATCTTCTGTGATTGCTAGGGGTACTATAATTACTTTCAATAAAATATATAAAAAGTAACAATTATATAAGAAATTATATATATGTTTATGTAATATATTATTTGATTTTCATATGTAAATACTATAAAATAAAATGTTCTTTAATTTTATTGATTAATGTAGGTATGGAATTTAAGGGTTGATGTTAATGTTATTAATCATGATGGGAATTTGATTGATTGTGCTTCGATTGCAACATTAGCTGCTCTTTCACATTTTCATAGGCCTGATGTAACATCTAATGGTGAAGACATTATAGTTCATCCATTTTCTGAAAAGGACCCTTTACCATTAACATTATATCATTATCCAGCATGTGTTTCTTTTATAACCTTTGAATGGTCAGTTATTTAAATTCTATTATTGTATTAAATAACATTTCATTTAAAAACAGTTTTTGATAAAATTTTATTTTCTTAGTGGAAATACTGTTATGGATCCAACATATTTAGAAGAAAGAGTTGGAGTAGCTCAACTTACTCTTGGTATAAATTCATATAGAGAACTTTGTAGTTTGCATTTTAATTATTTGACAAAAACTATGACTGTGAAAGATGTGATATCAGCAGTTTCTAGTTATGCAACAAATTATGCTTTAGAATTAGTACAACAGATAAAAGAAGCAGTAGCTTATGATGTGAATGCAAGGTAAACTTTTGCTAATTATTTTATAATATTTCTTAATTTATATATTAGATTATTTTTATCTGTAAAATATATATTTAGGTATAAAAAAGACGATCATAATACAAGTCGTTTTAAGGAATGTATAACAATGAAAAAGTTGACTGCAATGAACAGTGACTGTATTAGCATTAAACTACATAAATGGAATGAAATAGAAAAAGCAGAATCTGATGGTAAGTATTTTCTTTCTTTTAATGGCATAACTAAATAAAAAATAAATAATTATATTTATCAAGTTGACCTGGAAGAGAAACAAACTGAGAGTTGTGTAATTATAAAACCTGGACAAGGATCTGCAGAATTAATAACAGATGCCGTAAATATTTATTCAGTTGAAAAATGTAACAAAGATTCATGTGAATAGTATAATCAACATTTCATAATTTTCATAGGGTATGTCATTTGGTGAAGGTGGACCTAACACATGGAATGTATCAGAATCATCAGAGGAAGAAATAAATGATATTGAAATTACTGCTGAAATAAAGAAAGAAGAAGATAAAATCATGGGTGAAATAGGTATTTTATATAATTTATTTTTTACTCCATTACATTTTTTTGATAAATAAAATAAGAATTAATCGCTTAATTGTCACTATTTTAGAATTAAGTGGAAGTAGTGAAGAAGAAACCACTGAAATGTTAGAAACAAAAGATTTAATGCAATAAATAAATAAATAAATAAATAATATAACAAATTAAAGCACAATTGTACAAAAATTAATTCAATAATTGTTTTGTCTATTTAGATGTTATTTATCTTATATGATGAAGAAAATAAAAAAAATATAAAGTCAATAAACAATACTTTAGTATGTATTGTTATACATATATTTTTTAGTGTGTTTTATACATAGATCTTATAAAATACCTATGCCTATTAACAAGTAAAAATTCATACATATATTCTTGACCTCGCTAATAAAATATTATTACAATAACAAAACTCATAAAATAAGGCCTAGGCTATGTAGTATCATTACTTAAACCATTTTTCTGATCCAATTTATTGGCATTAGTTTTTACTGTATAAATAAAAAAGCTTAGTGCTTCTTTTTCAATAACAGGGATGGTCTTAAAATGCTTCATAAGAGTCTGAAACAAAACAATATACATTAGTAAGACATGTATTCCTAGTACAAGTTCATATTTTTTGTATTTTATTGTGTTTTAAGAAAACAATAAAATATTTAATTTATAAAATATTTAATACACTTTTAAGAATAAAACAATAATTTTCAAAGTACATTTTATTTAATATACTTACATCAGCTAATTGAGCTTTATTTAGTCCTGGACGTGTAGATACTTTATAATGCCTTTTGTACCGTCTTAGAGTACCAACTTGTAATTGAAACAGGTCAACTTCAGGAAGATCATTATCTGTTTCACCTGAATCTTCTTCTGAGTCCTTACGTCTACGCTGCTGTTGTTGTTTGGATCTTGCACATTGTATTACTTGCTTATGGTAGTCACAAATGTATATATGACGTGCCTAACAATAAATAAAATTTATAATGAGATGTAATTATTGCTTAATCATGTTTTGATACTTAAAAGTTCTCTTTTAAAATCAATTATTTAGAAAATATAACAAAATTAAAGACATTAAAACATAAATATATAATATTTCTTGAAATATTAAATACTATATTTTACTTTACTTACTGGTAAAAAGTAATATTTAATTATATAAATATATTGTTAAAAGTTAATAAATAGTTATCTATATTTGTGTAACCTTTTGAAATGCTCATTGATTTTAATTATTCATACAAAATCTCAAAAACTTATTTATTACAAATTCTAAAATCATATTATTCTATAAAAATAACAATTAACTCTATTATCAATAATATGTAAGATTTAAAAACACAAAAAGAAAAAGAACTTCAAAATAAACAAAAGGAAATGACAAGTGTATATGTTTTAATATAATTTTTCATCACTAATCTTACCGCTTGATCAAGATTAAGTTTCAATCGTCGCTGAGTTACAGTTTTTTGAATACGTTTACTATAAGAAGCGTTGCCAGCTGGCCGAGTGCATCGTTCACCCTCATCTACAAGGCAACAAATTTGATCAGCAGCTCCTCTGGAATCTTCTTCACCGGTACTGAATCCATTCATTTTTTTTTATTCTTAACATCAACTAAATCGGTATGAAGAGTATTTAGAACTTTAACAACCTCGAAATCTTTCGATGTATATGTTTGCGTCAAAAAACGGCGTGTCTGAAAGTAAAATATACTCGACGATGTCTACTTTTCACACTCATAATTTCCCGTCGAATTTCATTTGTTACTACAATTTTTCAAAGAAATTTATTTTTCAGTTGCCGGTGTAAAAAAAAACTTTCATTTAATGTAAAGATTCAAGTTCACAAATCGATAATTTAAATAGTAGAGTTTGCGTATTACGAACACCTCAATGTTAAACGATGTCGTATAACGTTTCACTTTCTTTCTCTCAACAATTTTAGATATGAGATATTTTTACGTATCTGATATTGCAAATGTTCCAAAAATTTTGTTACAAGACAAACATTTAACACTATTATTTTCTCGCAATACATCTATGTTTTTACAGATTTCTTTAAAATTCTATGCTACAACACTTCACCGCGTTTTATTATTTACACATCTACATTGACTCATACGATACTACGTGAAGACCATATGTATATGTGATGTGTAATGTAAATTTATGTATGTATATATGGGTGTGTGCGTGTACGTGCGTGTGGATATGTGTATTTACACAAACGACGTGGGTTAACTTTAAGAAATTCCTATCCAGCAAAATTCAATCCTACCAACCTTATATCTTATCATTAACTAAAAATAAATAGCTTTTAATTAAATGTACATACATATACATATATATATTTCAGAATGTATTTAATGTTTATAATATAGTAAAGTATAGTTTATATTATCTTTATTTTTGTGCTCTTATCTTGAATTCATTCGATTCTTTATTCAATTTATTATCAAACTGTACTTATTAAAAGTATTTCTAGAAATAGATTCTTCAAAATTATATATTTGTAATCTATTTATGTAACAAAAAAGATACAGATAAGTAGCATGTCTAATAGAATTATGAAATTTTGTGGTTTAGTAAATTCTAGTTCTTTTCTATTCATATATTGCCTGCTTACTGTATGGTTGAAACCAATAAATACATCTACATGAATAACAACTAGAAATGATATAATATATTCGTAGTATAAAATTATGTTCATTATGAACAAATTAATATATTTTTTGAAAACTACTAATTGATATTATATTAAGATGTTAGTAGAATTTATGTACATATCAAAATATACATTAAATATAGCATATAATTTTTAATCATTTTATTTATTTTTATGTCCTCGGTATGAAGAGTATTTAGAACTTTAACAACCTCGAAATCTTTCGATGTATATGTTTGCGTCAAAAAACGGCGTGTCTGAAAGTAAAATATACTCGACGATGTCTACTTTTCACACTCATAATTTCCCGTCGAATTTCATTTGTTACTACAATTTTTCAAAGAAATTTATTTTTCAGTTGCCGGTGTAAAAAAAAACTTTCATTTAATGTAAAGATTCAAGTTCACAAATCGATAATTTAAATAGTAGAGTTTGCGTATTACGAACACCTCAATGTTAAACGATGTCGTATAACGTTTCACTTTCTTTCTCTCAACAATTTTAGATATGAGATATTTTTACGTATCTGATATTGCAAATGTTCCAAAAATTTTGTTACAAGACAAACATTTAACACTATTATTTTCTCGCAATACATCTATGTTTTTACAGATTTCTTTAAAATTCTATGCTACAACACTTCACCGCGTTTTATTATTTACACATCTACATTGACTCATACGATACTACGTGAAGACCATATGTATATGTGATGTGTAATGTAAATTTATGTATGTATATATGGGTGTGTGCGTGTACGTGCGTGTGGATATGTGTATTTACACAAACGACGTGGGTTAACTTTAAGAAATTCCTATCCAGCAAAATTCAATCCTACCAACCTTATATCTTATCATTAACTAAAAATAAATAGCTTTTAATTAAATGTACATACATATACATATATATATTTCAGAATGTATTTAATGTTTATAATATAGTAAAGTATAGTTTATATTATCTTTATTTTTGTGCTCTTATCTTGAATTCATTCGATTCTTTATTCAATTTATTATCAAACTGTACTTATTAAAAGTATTTCTAGAAATAGATTCTTCAAAATTATATATTTGTAATCTATTTATGTAACAAAAAAGATACAGATAAGTAGCATGTCTAATAGAATTATGAAATTTTGTGGTTTAGTAAATTCTAGTTCTTTTCTATTCATATATTGCCTGCTTACTGTATGGTTGAAACCAATAAATACATCTACATGAATAACAACTAGAAATGATATAATATATTCGTAGTATAAAATTATGTTCATTATGAACAAATTAATATATTTTTTGAAAACTACTAATTGATATTATATTAAGATGTTAGTAGAATTTATGTACATATCAAAATATACATTAAATATAGCATATAATTTTTAATCATTTTATTTATTTTTATGTCCTCAATTCATAATTTAACATATATTTATAAAAATTTATTAGGATATTTTACTTCTAGTAAAATTCCATAAATATATTATGTATAATAAAAATATATTCATAAGTAATATACTTTATAAAATAAACTTAATAAAATTTTATGTAAATACTGTTATTTTGTTGTAATAAAACGATTATACGCAATTATTTCTGTATGCTAAAAATGATTAAATATACATATTAGGAAATGTTTAATATGGAAATAATATCATTTATATTTAATTTTTAAACTTTCTAATCTCTACTGTGGAAAATAATTTGTTAAGTTAAAGAGATATATATGTATATATAACATACGAAAATGGTACGCATCACGTTGGCGGTACTGTAATTTGCGCCTTAACATTTAGCTTTCAGAATGTAACGCCATCTACAATAATAATAAACTCTAACCTTAATAATTTAAACTATTTATCTGTCATAGAGTATTATTGTTTTAGTTACATATAACAAATATATTTTACTACTAAAAATGCATTAATTTGATGTGATAAAGAAGATATTATTTAGTGTGAAGCGAATGATATAGCATTGGCGGTTTTCACGCATGATTTTTCCCGCCCTTTCCACCAGCAGACATTTTATTGGGGGGGTAAAAAGAAACGCTTCAAAACATAAAAGGTTGATGCTGATTGGCTTACTTTTTGCGGCTTATCTGAAATAAGCCAATGGTAATACAGATTTTCCCCATACACTTTCATATGCCGCACAAGTGGCGTGGGGTCGCGATATTCGAAGCTGAGAATCCTTTTAGCTGTAGAGGACCGTCCAGGTAAGAAAAATCCAAATATTTTTCTTTTCGAGTGTTGACAGATTTCGGCGACCAACAATTGATTATTAGGCTATCATCATTGTATGATACGCGTAATACGAGCAATTATCTAGTGAAGTGCTACTGTGCTGCGTACTGTGCATATACCTTTTATTTCTACACAGCCGTCATAGCAAATGGCTGCCCGGAGATGTGTTTAGTAGGAAGGTTCTCGTGCACTTTGTTATCATTATGTGCAGATATGTGAAGAAATATTGTGTGACAGTTTTTACTATCGTGAAAATGTAGATATTCTAAATTCATAATATAAAATGTCGGCGTGGCCTGTGTCACGAGTATTTCGTCATAAATCAACCGTCAAGGCTATAGCCCGCGTACGATCAGTCTCTGTTTGGCTACTTGCGCCATGCATTGGCATATATGGGATCTTGTACTATAGTACTCGTCATAGTTTTATAATGAATAATTTGCTATTTAATGTATAAATTACAATGATGAGCATGATATAGTTGGAAAATTTGTAGAAAATAAGAGGGACTTTTAGTCATTAGTTTGTTATCCATGACGTAGTTAATAATATATTGCAATACGTTTGATTTCCCGCTCACATCCAATTCTCTAGCCTATTAAAGTTACATATACATGATCGACAGTGGCATATTTATGTCCTATTTCCTTAATTTTTATATAGTAATAGAAATTTAGTCCAACTATCGTCAAATTATTTAGGTTATCTGTAGCAATCGAGTTCATGAATGTTAAAAGGGCGAAAAATGTCTGTTATGCACAGTATGTTTACACGTAAGCGTCTCTTAAGCGTCTCTTTTTACTGTGTGCGCCATATCAGCGACGAAACGTACATTCTGTACAAGGCGCCAAAATAATTTTGCTTTCTTTCTTTAAGTGATATTATATTTGTATATTCAGAGTATTATATATTCGTCAGTCCCTGAAATTTGTCGACGTTACTTATCTTTTATATATTTATTATAAATCAAATATTACTTCGTTATATTGAAATATGTGAAGTTGATTATATATAAAATGGTGGGAATATAATCAATGTACGGAAGACATGTTTGCAATACGCAAACGTCACTGTACTTGTTGTGTGTGCGTAATATGAGCTTTACATGTAGTTCAGTAGAGATGTATACGTGATATACTTATTCGTCTCTTTTGCTTATATTCACAACATGTTATCGAATCACAATTTTTTTTTCTTAAAGATATATATTTTTTATATTTATTAATGTGGGCTTGGATACTAGAATTGTTGTTCATTAAAACAGCAATTTCTAAGTTGAAATATTACTAGTTTTCATAAAAATATGCCTATTTTTACAATACTATATATCATATCTATATTTACACATCTGATAGAAAATTATCAGTAACTAATATATCTATAAAAATAATTTTTATTCCTTAATAATTATTCAATGTCTTTAATTTGAGATATATATTCATTTTTTATTTATTATTCATTTTTTTAAGTCTATATAGGTACATCATGCTGTTATTCTATATTTGTCTTATACAACGAATTTTTTATGATAAAACGTATGCATTATACTAGGATTTGTGCGTTTCATGATATTTTTTAAATATATAGGGTAATCGATCTGTGATTTTTTTTATCAAAGATCTAATATAAAATGCATTGATAGTTGCATCGGAGGATAGTCGTTGTCCGTATTTCAAACGATGAACCGGAGATAAGATTCTGATTCATAAATCGTGTCTGCTTAATAAACAAAATGCTTTCGAAGCTGTTTGGTATTAAATTAATGAGTTATTTTAGGACTTTAGCATAAACATTCTTTATAAAGATTAAGCCATGTTTTGTTACAATTATGGTATGTTAATGTTTCATTAAAAAGCAACTTGGATCTAGAAAATTAGAAAATATTTATGAAGAAGTCTGCGAATATTTAATTTGTTTCACAATTCGATGTTGTGTATATTTTGAATTCTACATTAATTTTATATTATCTAAAAAAATGTAAATTTACATACACAAAATCCACTTGACACATAGTATGCAATATTATGAAATCAGGAGCAAACCAGTTATTCGATTTTATGTATATTCGACGTGGCCATATTATACGTAGATATTATGGACAGTATAATATTACCATCATCCACATAAATCACCAT